TTTATTGATTTATTTTTTGCTTTATTTATTTATTTATTTATTTATTTATTTATTTATTTATTTATTTATTTATTTATTTATTTATTTATTTATTCATTCATTCATTTTCATTATTTCATTTATTTATTTATTTATTTATTAAAATTTATTTTCATCAAATCTTTGACTTTTATTTCTGACAGCTTCTGACCAATTAATAATTGCTTCTGATCTAAAAATGTAGCATATTAAGTTCCATTTCAGTGACAAAATCTGACACTAAATCACCTGAAGGGGAGGAGCCAAAAAGAAAGCTTCATTTCACTGTCTCAAATTTCTTCTTTTTTTTGCGTTATTGCATAAACAATTATAAGCAAAATGAAGTGTGCAAATACTTTATTGGTACGTGCTTCGAATGTTTCTCTTTTTTATTAATACTGTAAAACTGCAAAACTTTCTTTTTATGCAAATAATTGTTCTTTTTTCTGAATGCATTGCGACCTTATTCTATTTTCGATTTAAAGTGCAACACGATAATTTGTATTTCATGGACAATTTATGACACTTCAGAATTCGGAGTGGCAACAAAAGATGCTATATTAAGCATTCTGAAATTTCCTGTCTTTCCCGTTATTTCCTTGAATGAATGTTTAAATTAAATAAAGTAAGGCATGGGCTTTTATCGGAATTTGCTTTGAATTTATTCGCTTTTTATCAGGACTGCTCAATAATTTGTCTGTTTATTCGTTTAAGTCACCAGTCCACACGCACTTTGAACAATCTCAATAATGATGAAAACAGTAAACTGACAAAAGGGATATGTAACAACGCCATTAGATCGACAAATTTGTTAAAGTCGGTGCTAGAGGTCCAAAACGGTAAATTGCACTTTTCAGTACCGACCGTGAGCATGCTACAATTCAATTCAGTTTTTTTCCTTGTTCTACGGATTCCGTTCTACATAGCATATCTGGTTGAACTTTATTATCACTCAAAGAGATATCATGTTTGCATGTTTGCCACAATAAATATGACGTCATTCGTTGACAGTTCTAGAGTTGTAACATATGTTTTTAAATGTTATTACTCGTGACCATTATCACACATTGAAAACGTCTTCTATGATGATAAAAATAATTAATCGTTACGTAATAATGTTTAACTTGGATTAAAGTGGAAAGCTGTACATTTTCCATAAGTATTTCAAATATTGCTTTTCAAAATTGTTGATAAATGATTCAGTATAAAACCATTAACACTTAAATATGATGAATAATACCATTCTGCTCTAGAAAAATCTTTTATCTGCCATATGAATATATATAATATCGGATCATGTATCTCACAATTGCTAACAACATCCCTATACGAGTATATACTTTCGTGGTTTGTTGTTTTTTATGAAACTTGATACTGTCAACAAATCTATCATTTTTGTATTACAGACCATCAATTATAGACCACTTCACTTTAAGCCTTTGGTTGCATATTGTTGCAAATTTGAAGTTATTTCGTGTTTTAAAAGTTGTTAAGTTTACTTCCAAATTCGAATTAATCTGTAATAGCAATATCCATTTAAAATTTTATCATCGTTATCATGGAACTCCAGTCAGTTTCAAAAGCCCAAAAACATAAGATTTCTTACGTGTTTCATTTTAAACAGAAATGTAAAAGAAATTAAGAGATATACTAAGACGTAAATTTGAAATCGTATATTCTTGCTATTCTTAACACGATTTGAGTGAAAAGCTTTGCTACGTTATTTAATTTTGTGTCCCTTTTCACAATTAGAAATATTATTCGGGAAAAAACGGAGTGAGTGAATGTTCTGAACTTTTGCAAACATATTACTGGTCTAGACATACGTCAAATGGAACATAAATCTCGACAACATATGTCCAGTCCAAAACCTTTAACATTTTAATCCTAAGTTGCAATCAAAAATGTCAAATGACTGCAGCCACTTTAAATGGTAACATACTTCTCTAGTTGATAATGAGTCCATTTCAATTTAATCGGACACATTGCCATTTAAAGGCCCGTTGATGCCTCACATAAAATGCTTTTATTTATATTCCTCAAAAGGTGGTTATTTTTTGTGTCTTGTTAAAGTTTCCTAAAATATACTCAAATGCTAATTATTAAACCAATCTTTGCTCTGTTGCTTTTTGGAAATTAGTACTAGTTTAGTGATAAGTATTTTGTACGGAAGTCACAATACTAATTCTTTTACTTTTTTATGACAAATAATTTAATTTTCAGTGCGACTTTCCCCAGGCAAAATGAATCTAACATGCTCTAAAACCGTTATCTAAACCTTATAAAACTCATGTCTACCCTTTGCATAGAATGAAATATTTGTTCCCTTTCTGAGGCATGATGTGTCTTTTACCTTTACATTGATTTTCCTATTTATTTAATCTGTATCAAATGCACATAGGCAGGATAAAAACTGTCTATGCAGACACAACGAAACCTTCCCTGTTGGGAATACCTCTACACGAACTAACTCTACATTATACAATAATGTTTGATGAACCTCCAGTGTATAATGTTCTGACTGATAGTGATCATATATCAAACATCTAATAGAGTTATTTAACATCACCATTTTTTATTAATGTACACTGATGAAATCTAGTAAACTAATTGCATTATTATCGTACAATACTGTTCAATAATTGGTTTAAATGGAAGTCAATTGTGAATATCTGTTTTTTTATGTTTTTACGTAAACGGTGCTATACACTGTTGATCTTTATTATAATTAATTTGTCATTGCAATGAATATACCAATCTTTGAGAAAATGTATATCGTCAAACATATCTACATGTCCTTTTCAATTTCCAACTTTATAAACATGTACACATGTCCATTTTTCTTAGTATTTCCATGTTCAAAAACATGTTATTGCCAGAAAGTGTCCATATTAAAAAGAATCTGTCCACCGTTAGTAATTGATTTTTTTTTCTCGTCAGAAACATTTACATTTTATAAATATAACATTTATATTGATATTTAAGAACATGTACTTATTTCTTATTCATTTTCATGTTTACTTTTATCCCTTTTAGCTGAGGGCTTGCCTTGAATGGTTGAGCCAGCAGAACTGAAGTCGTTGTTTCTCCCTGCGTGCTAACTGGTTCAAATAACTGGTTTCAATGCATATCCTAGCTCAAGCAGGTGAAGTGGTTTCCTCTCCTGGCGTTGCTTAAAGTTTGTAACACCCGAGATTAGCCAAAATCGTGTTTCTTGTTTCGGCGCCATTCGACCTAAATTGCGTTGCTGCGGGAAATAACGAAATAAAAGACGGATTTTCTGATTAACTTATCTCGTGGTAGAATTATAAATGCAAGCATTCACCACATAAAATTGTGGTGACACTTTTGTGTCGGCTTTTGTTTTTTCGTCTACGGTAAGTATCTCCCCTTTCCCTAAAATTTTTATTTTCAATTTTACCCTCCCCCTGTCCCGTCCTTCTTGTTCCGTCCCCCCTTGACTTTTTGTAGGACTTTTAATTGATTTTGATTATATAATTTTCATGTTACCTTTTAGTTATCTATGATTATCTGTTTTATTACGACATCCCGATCGTTTTTTGTTGTTTTTTTCTTTTGTTTTCTAATGTTGTTTTTTGTTTTGCCCGTGTGATCTGTCTCGTTTGGTGCCCTGCTGGGCTCTTTGTCGTTCATTGAATGCCTCCCTTCCTTGTTTATCTTATTTTTCATATTTCATGTTAATTTTGAACTGTTAAAGCATGTCTTACCTTTACGAACTTACCAGAAAGATTGTACCATCCTTCGTATTGAATGTTCTGTTTTGTTTAAAATTAAGAAATTGTCTGTAATTTTTACCTCTTTACTTTTATGTACTTTTTACCACTTGTATTTACTTTTTAACGCTTTAATGTCGTTCGTCACAACAAGATTTATAATGAGATAGTTCAAACATGTTTATTCTTTTCTTTCCAGTGGCAACATTTTCCAATGCCCTTTTATTTACTTTCAAACACTTGAATGTAGTTTCTTACAATAAGAATGACAATGTGATAGTTTAAACATGTTTATTATTTTCTTTCTAGTGGCAACATTGTCAGATTTTAACCCTTTTATCTACCTTCAAACACTTTTTGTAATTTGTTTCTACAAGAATGAGATAGTTCAAACATGTTTATTCTTTTATTCCTTTCTTTCCGGAGGAAACATTGTCAATTCAGCGGTATCGATCATCTCTCTCACTGTTAGCACTTTTATTTTTAAATTGCTTAAAGGAAATGGATTATGCCCCAAAAATGCTCTTATTCTTACTCTTATTCTTAAAAGATTTGTAATTTTGGTGCACTTTTATAATATCTAAATTGCTCATCAACCAATTACTTGATCCATCGTTTTCATAATTATATTGCTGATACGTTTCAGTCACTGAACTTAAGATGCGACCAGATGTTTTCTAATAACTTGAGACTATGCAACTCTTAGCTCAAGCATGTAATGTTGTTTCCAGCCCTGATTTTGCTTTAGAAGTAACCGAAACTCATCTTTCCTCTTTCGGCGACACAGAACCCAAACTGTTTTTGTGCACCGTTAAAACCAACCAAATAAACAAACAAATTGGCCTATATATAAAATAATTAATTTATATATTCAAGACATGACCCTTTGTCTGCTTTTTTAGGATTAATAAGAAAACGTTGCCAATTTCTATTGCAATTTATCACAACAAACATGTGCATATTAAGAAGGTCTCTTTGGCCCAGTAGTTAAGGTTGCTTACTCTGAACAGCTTGCCCATCTTAGCTGTAGGTTCAAATCCCGCCATGAAATTTGGATTCTTTCATATTAGGAAACTAACAAGTAGTTGTACGGAAGATCAAGGGTTTTTCTCAGATCCCTCTTTGTGCCTCTATTAACACACAGAGTACATGTGACTTTTTGTCCTTGGTATTTCACCTTTCATAGTGTGGTTGTGACATAAAATACAACCAAAAAAAAACGTAAATGAAAAGACAACAAAACAATCATAGAAATTAAGATTTATTCAAAGTTAAACAAAATCATTAGTTAGCTTTTGTAAAAATATAAATATATATAATTTATTCAAGATGTATTTATCTTTCTTAACTAAAATATTATTCTTTGTTTCTTATTCATCAATTTTATGAGCATAAATGTTGCTCTTTGCCCAAAGTTTGCTATTTCTTCATGGAAAATTCAACTCATAGTATTTAAATCAATGCATTTCCAATATGTGCCATATAGTTAAAAGTATAAGTGTATTTTTCTGTCCCAAATTAAAAGAAATAATTGTTCTCATCTCTATTCTTTCCTTTTTCGAAAGTTGTCCGAAATTCAACTATAAAGACCTTTTTTTCCAAATTAACCTTTTATGTAGATATGTATATTAACGTACCTGTTTTTTGACGAAGATAAATTTTAAATATCAATGATTTATTAAAATATTTGTCGTTTTACACAGTAATATGTTCGTGAAAATTCGGCATATTTCGCCAATTTCCATGAACTATTGAAATCTTACGCTTTATGACCAAGGGAAAGCAAGTCAGACAGATATGGCATGTGAAAAATTTCAAATATGTAGTAATACTTAAACATTTTAATAATGAAGCCATTTAAACGGTGGATCACCATGAAATAAAACCCTGCATAAATTTATTATGCTTATTTTGTTTTGTTGTTCTACCATGAACATGTATGACACTGGTTATTGTTCCTTACAGTTTTAATAAATATTCTATTCAATATTCTAAAATATTTTTTACAGCGGTGCCAAATCATTCAACTTTATACGAATGTCTGATCTATGTTCCTTACAATTTTAATTAATATTCTATTCAATATTTTTTGCAGTAGTGTCAAATCATTTTCTTTATATCAGCCCCAGATATTTTTCCCTACATTTTTCAATTGATGTTCTAATTAATATATTTAAAGTAATGCCAAATCATTAACTTTACACATGTATCAATGTCTAATATGTGTTCCCTACAATTTCAATTAATATTCTATTCAATAATGTTTACAGCGGTGCCAAATTATCAAAATTATATCAATGTTCGATACGCTGTACATGTGAAAGACTGAATATTCTGTTCTGTTCTGTTATATTCCGATCAATATCCCATTAATCACCTTGTAATGATAAACATTATTATTATTTTCCTTATTTCCTCCATAACTGAAGAGCATTTACATTCTTCAGTCTTCTTTGAAGTTTTTTTTAAAGGAAATATTCAAATTAAAACTAATCTGATATCTCGGAAACATTTGAATTTAGGGAAACAACGTTTTAAACATATGCTTACACCTTTATTTATCATAATTATTATAAAAAAAATATTATAAACATGTTTTGATATTAATGATATAAATCTTAAGTTTGAAATTATCATATCTTTTGATGAAATACATAGATCAGCTATAGTTAGGTGTGAAAATTTGTATCAAAGATTAAAAAAATTAAAAAAAAAAAAACAAAGCATTCTTACATATGTTGTTCTTATTACAGCAGTTTCTAGTCTATTAAAATGACACATGAATGAAGAAGTTGTTAAAATATGAAAAAATGTCAAATGATGCCCTTTTTCAATAAAAAAGAAAAGAAACAAAATACTCTGAGAAAAAATGTCTCGGAGGCTAAGTTCACTGGAAAAAAAATCAGAAAGTTTCGCGAGGGAATATTTTCGCAAAAATAAATAATCGCTAACAATCTAATCTGTAACAACCTGAAAGAGGAACCATACGACTATTTAACCTCGTCGGGGGTTTTTTTGGCCTCGTGTTCATGCCTAATTTTACAGAACATATCTTTAAGTGAATTAACTTTCTCTTTATGCAGGAGTAAATTGAAAGGAAACATTTGTGATGTACAAATATCTGATGAACTAAAACTATTTGTACGTTTTTTTCCCTATCTTAAGCAAAATATATATTATATTTTGTTTTAAGTAACAATTGTTACAGGTCATTTATATATTTTGTGAAAAGTAGTGTAAAAACATAATAATATAATAAGTAGAAACAATTGTTGTCCTCACAGAATCAAAGTTAAAACATCATGAAGTATAAGTATCTTGTACGATTTGTTATCAAATGTAATAAAAAACAATAATTTCGTTTCAGAATATATAAAATAATAGAGAATATATTGCAAATTTAGAGATAAGTTAATAACATATTTAATGCCCCCTAGCACCGGCTCATGGTCCAACACGTCTTTTTTCTTCTGTATGTCGCTCAAAGGGTACTGATGATGACGTAAAACGTAATACATTAATTTTCATTAAAAATTGTTAAAGATTATTCTGTACAAAAGGGAAGGAACAAGGCTGTTATTAAAACTTCAAGAACACAAAACAATCATAAAAGGATACATGCTATGTTTTGACCATTAAAAAAGAAGCCAAAACGTCACAGGTACAGGCATTAAATAAGTGATCAAGTAATTATATTTACATGCTGTTTTTTATTGTATTTTTATTTATATCAAATATCTATAAATATGATATTTATTTTCACAAAATATACCATTCACAAAGTACGAAAGTACGAGCTGCATTGAGCACGAAACATGATAACAAAATTTGAAACGATACATGTATACTAAAGAGGGGGGAGAAATAGCCATCATACAATCAAGCTGATGTGAAGAAAGCTTTCACAAATAATACATTTGAGCCGTGTCACGACAAAACCAACATAGTGCATCCGCGCAGTCTGATCAGGATCCATGCTGTTCGCTTACAAACTCTATAGTAAGTAGAGAAACTGATAGCGAACAGCATGGATCCTGATCAGACTGCGCGGATGCGCAGGCTGGTCTGGATCCATGCTTGTCGCAAACCCATTATGTTGGTTTTGTCGTGACACGGCTCATTTGTCATTCATCACAAAATATCACAGACTGCTCCACTACATGTACACACATGTTGTCAGTTGTCATTTGTCAACTAAACATTGTTAAACTGAATTTTGTCAGCTGAACGTTGTCAGCTAAACGTTGTCAGCTGAATCTTGTCAAGTAAATGTTATAAACAGAATTTCGTGAGTTGTAAAACTGTTGTCATATTTGCTTGTACAGATTAGTTCACATTCTTTACATACAGAAAATTGTACTTTGTCAAAAATTGATGAGGAATTAAAACTTTTTATAACAAAATGCGGGTTCAAAAAGTTAGTTTATCATTTTTAATATAAATAACATGATGTTTTGATAATAATGTTTCGTAATTGCGATGAGAGAAAAATAGAATATTTTTAACAATTAACATGTGTTATTATCTTTCAGTATACTTCTTTTGTATCTATTTATATATATATATACATGTATATAAAAACCTTACAAACAATATATTAAACTTTTCTCCAAATGGTGTTGAATCACGTTGTGGGGACTCTAGCATTATTTCTCTCGCAACATGTTTTTCTGTTTCATACAGCAGTAATATTAATATTTCCAAAATATCATTTTATAATAATAATGTCTTTTACACTTGTCACAATTTGACTTCATAACGTCAACCCGAATCAGAAAAAGGTTCAAACTCTTTGCCACAAATATTGTTATTTCATTATGAAATCAAACAATTGTTATTTCATTATGCAGCCAAAGAAATGTTATTTCACGATGAATATATTAGGCCGTTCATGCACCCATTGTTCGTAACATTAAACAAGAAAATCACTTGAAAGGCAGTCTGCCATCCAGACAGGTAACTCTCACACACATACATGTATATCATTCCACTGTGTATAACAAAATATAGATACGTGTAGTTCATGTTATTAATACGACAACTTCAAATTCAGTCTAGTTTGTTTATATATGCTTTTAGTCCATGAACAATTAAACAAAGGCAAATTTGTTGTCGCGATAATGATTGTCAATCATACAAACAATCAGCAAACATACATTTATACAATTACATCTTCATCTCTGGTGATATCCCAGCTTCCGATGCAGTTTCTGTAAGAAAAATTAGGTATTTGTATGCTTTTGACTTCTACAGAAAAAAACTGGGCAATATACATTATAAAAATGACAAAGATGTTCTAAAGCCGGTGCTGAAGGGGTTCTCCGGTTGATAAAGGCACCGACAATAGCGTTTTTTTTTTTTTTTTTTTTATTTATTTTTTTTTTTTTTTGGTGCGTTAAACATGTCTGACAAATTTCACTAAATGTTTTCGCATTCCCTTTTAAGCGTGGTTTGCAGAATGATCTGTAAATACGATAAAATATGGGAAAAGGTGTGACTTACATGTAAATATTACCGTTAAAGCAATGGAAGCATCAATATTATATAACAAGTGTAGACACTCTTAAATTGAGTCTATTCACTAGAGATACTGTAAAAGTGCAACATGTCCTATGCCCCATAGCACCGACTTTAGCCGTATTTAATCATTAAAACTAACGTGCTGCACTCAATGATCAAGAACGACCAGAAAAAATTGTAACAAAACTTTTAACAATTGCCTTTGGCTTTGGACAAAAGTATATTAATTATAAGGCAGTGCCTAGTTACCCTTTGGCTTCTCCTCGGCTTCTGTCTCTGCTGATTGCTGATGTAATTCTTCAGTCTCGTCATTATTTGATTTGTCAGCCATGTCTGCTTTTGTTTCCTCCATATCATCTTGCTGAGCTTCGGACATTTGGTCTTCCCCGAGTTGTATTTCTTGTGGCTCTATACGTGGTGCAAGGTCTTCCAAAATAGCTTCAGCAAATATGTCACCTGAATAACATGATAGACAAAAGTCTTATATAAAGTCTAGCAAATTGAATGGTAAGATTTTCAACCATGTTTAATAGGTTCAGTTTAAATGTCATTAAAACATTAGATAAAACATTAGATTCTGACATTAAGTGTACAGTAAACGCCATTTATTACAATATTCAAGGGACAGGCGAATTTATATCGTTATATCCGGGTATCGTTAAATCCGAGAGGCAATAAATTTGAAACAACAGCATCGGTATAAGCGGTATATCGTTATAAACGATATCATTATAAGTAGAGTTAACTGTATTTTACATTCATTTTGAAACATCTGGCTAGTTAATGAGTATGTCATTTCATCATCATGTGAAATGAAATATGCAAATATGTATGTTTAACTGATATAACAAATACTTGCATCATGCAGCATTTAATTCATGCATAATCGTTATACTATCCATTAAAGCTGTAGTCATTGCAAAATCAGTTTTTTTTTTCCCATGGGATTTTTTCCATTTTCATTTTCCCATTCGAATCGCATGCAGTTTTCAATATTTAAGCGCTTATAGCGCTGGGGGATTTGTCAATACTCCCATTGGATTATTTGTATTAAAACCACGTGTAATGCATTCTATAGTTTCAAATTTGGATTTGCCAATTTACCATTAGATTATAAGTATTTAAATCGCTTGAAAGTGCTTATCAATGTATTATCAATTTATTTTGTTTATCTATATAGTATACATAATATTTGTTTTAAGAAAATCATCTAAAGCATTATAAGTTCGATCATTTTGATACACTTTTGATATACAAATACCTTTAAATGTGTCACTATTTACAATTTTACAATAGTTTGTTAAAGAGAGAGAGTGTCATTTGTATGTAGCAGAAACAACTATTATAATTATGTATCATTACTTCTAGTCAAAGTGCTGACAATGTTCACGTAATGTACCACTTTACGATACTTTGTTACTTGTACCACTTGTTTCAATTAACAGAAAGATTACATTACTCGGATATGTTCGCAATTCCGAAATGTCAAAGCCATTACGGGAGTATCAGAATAACGTTATAAAATGATTACAGAGGAAATGATCGACACGACTTCTAGAGTCAGCAATTTTAGATGTGGGTACGGGTTAACAAATGATAGTTGACATGTTATATTCCGAACCGATGTTATCATCAAAACGTGAACATTTGATCAGGATGGATTCGATGTTGTTATATTTTTCTGGTCCTTTGGGATCATTGAGTCAAGCACTTTTAAGTGCGGAGAATTGAGTTCCGCTCAAGCCGGTGCCAGGGAGCGTGAGGGATGCTGCATATTTTCATTATCCCTCATGTACAGACTAAATGAAAGTGAGTCTGCAATTTTCATGAAATTTTGCTTTTTTCCAATGTTTCCAAGTGATTACTTTTTCAGACTTTTGTAAGTAACTTGAACTGAAAATCCTTGTTTGCAATATTTATGAATGTATAATTGTTTTAATTGCTTATAAGGGATCTCTCCTTTCGGTCAAGTTTTTTTTTTGTTCACAGCAGTAGCTGAGTCTATGTTCGCAATAGCGGACTGTAAGTGCTTTGTGGCAGCTGTAAAAAGTTGTCCGGTCTCCTCTGTTCAAAAACAGCCGTTAATGCACGGCTAAAATTGTAAAGGGGTGATCCCATGAAAGCAATGCAAACAGCAAAAATTACATGAAAATTACAAACTTGGTTTGACTGAGTCTGTTCATGAGGGATTATTGATTCTCACTCCCCCCCCCCCCCCTACCAACGGCTTAAATGATATATTTTTTCCAGCACGTAATGTGCTTATATTACCAAGCATAATTGCTTTCTTTACATTATATGCACCTAAGTGAAAACTTCACAGCAGTATTGTTTATACAGCGGTGATGATTTTCCAATGAACATTATTGTATATGTACAGTATTATAATAGTCAATTATACATCGAGGATGATTAGCCAATGAAAATAATTGTTACAAATATGCAGTATTACAGTATATTAGTCACTTATTCATCGATGATGATAAGCCAATGAAAACTGTTGTCACAAATGAATGCCATATTATAATAGTCAATTTATACATCAAAGATGTTTAACCAATGAAACAATTAGCCATTTCTAGTCACAAATGTGTGCAGTGTAAGTCAATTATACATCAAGGATGATTAGCCAATGAGCATTATTGTTACAAATACGGAGTATTACGTATAATAGTCAATTATACATCGATGATGATTAGCCAATGATTTTTTTTCACAATTATGTGCAGTATTATGATTCAATTATACATCGATGATGATTAGCCAATGAACAGTGTTGTTATAAATGTGCAGTATTATAATAGGTTAATTGCATGACAAGACTTCATAAGTATAGACATACCTAAAATTGATTTTACTTGTTCTTCGTCATTTGGATCGTTATCACGTGATACATAATCGACAATATTGCTCAGAATTTCTTCTGCTTCCGGATCGCCTGTAGAGTGGAAATATGCGTGTATAAAAATATGTACCCTTCGAGTCTAAACATACAAACATATTAGATTTATTAAAGAAAAAATGCTTTTAAAATGGCATTTATATATTATAAAATGTTTGAAGAATATCTATAACTTTTAAAGAGTACAATTAATTTTTTCTGTTGTTGGATCCTTTCACAAAATTACATATGCTTTTTACGAAAATCTGGAGATTGGCTACGGCAACTTTGTTTAGAGATGCCTATTGTTTATTCAGTACAAGTACAATATGCATACAGTCAATAGTACAATATGTGTTTAAAAAGGAAGCATATAAGTCCTACGAGTGATATATTACTTAAAGGAGAACACATATATGAAATCATCATAAATATGACAAATATAGATTTTGTTTTCACATAGCAATTATAACCTCCCCTGGTCGTCCTTTTTTGGGGGGTCGAAATGACTATAATATGCTAAAGATTAATATCATCTTCATGAAAACTTATAAAAATTGTTTACATATTGGTGTTATAATAATATTTTGCTGCATACGTATACCATATTTTGACAAATCAGCTGTTTACATTGATTTGTGTAATATTCATATAGAATATTGACCTCCAAAATGGCCGCCACTTTAAGCAAGGAAGGTAAATTTTGGAGAAATCGGGAAATCTGTTTGTATGAATTAGAATAGATACCTCTTAGGAACAAAAGCCAAAAAACGGCAAAATTTAAACGTTGTAGGCTGGGTTTCATTGACCCTGTTCATAGACGGTACTTGTAATTGTAAGTTACCGTCCCCCATAGCACCGGCTTATGCAGAATCAAACTTGGTTGTGTTTTATTTTTTAACAATCAGAAAATGATGCTAATATTTCATTTTAATTGTCGTTTGCTATGTTTTAATCAGGATATTTTAGAAGTGTTTTACGTCTATAAACAAAGCTATGGTACTGGTACGTTGTAATATAGATATCAATATATTTGTATATATATTTACCGTTAACAATAGCGTTTGTAAGCCACGTATCTATTACGCTGTTAATCATATCATCAAGTGTCACGGGTTTGTTCAGCATGTAATTAAGATAGTCATCCATATTGTCCGGCTGTTGTATTTTACCCCCTTGGTTCTGACCATATCCGTATAATGGGTAAACATCCATTGGTCCCTGAAGCAAAATGCAAAGGTCGTGCATGAATTGTTACAATGTAACAAACGATGCGTTGATACAAAAAGAAACAACAAATTGTGACCAGAATAAATTTAGATATACACCAAGTATATCCAGATGATACATTTTTAGTTATTTTTCTTTTCTTTTTTAACAATATTTGAAATATTTAAGGAAATTGCACCAATTATAATCTAATTTATTTATTATATAATTTACATAATCGAACATAGGAAATAAGGTTAAAATGTCTACATTATAAAACTATAGTCCGATCATAATAAAAAAGGGGCGTGACAACAAATATTAACAAATGTAAGACAATTAAAACGCACCTGTAAGTTACCGTACATTGGGAAAGATGGTCTGGCAGCGCCGGCAAGACCTTGCTCATATAATTCTTCCATTTGCTGTAAATGCGTAAAAAACATTGATTCATTAACATCACCAAAAAAGAACAATTTCAAGCAATTTCATATCGCCATTCTCACCAGTATGCGTTCAAAGCAAAGATTCATAAAAAAGGGATAATGCTTTTATTAATTTGCTGGACATAATGGGAAAAACAAATAACACTAACAGGAACCAATATTCTTGCATAGCAGACTGGCATTTCCGTGAGTTTTACCCATGCCGGAAATTTCATCTGGCATGGGGGGTGCCAGATGAGTCGCGTGCCAAACAACAACGTCATTTTAGCGCACATTATGGAGGAACCGCGTTAAAATGACGTCGTTTTAGAAGGGAAATATGTGCTAAGGATGACGTCATTTCGCCGTTGTTATTTGAGTTGTAAGTTCATACGCTATTGTAAGAAAATAGTTACGGATGAAATGACTTTAATTTCCATGAACATATATCATATTGAGGTTAACCATTTTAAATATGAAATAATATGGCAGAATATGCAAGAAAAAATATCTAACATATGTTTGCGGTTCGGATCGGAATATCCGTCCCTCGGGAACCCGCCCATGGGCGGTAACTCGGCAAGCCTCGTTACCGCCCAATGGGCGGGTCCCCTCGGGACGGATATTCCGGTCCGAACCGCAACATATGACAGATATTATTAGTAATGTAATTATCCTACTTCTACAATAATATTTTGAATCTTAATGCTGTTATAGAATTCTTATATGTGTATAAATTATAACCCTACAGCGCATGTACATTAAATTGTTAGTAACGGACAAGGTAACTGTAGGTGATATTTTTAAATAAAACAACTTAATTTACATGTACTTCATGTAGTTGCTCCAAGGTCAGTTTGGCATGTTATTGCGCGTGAATATATTGCTTTGTAATCAAACAATTTAGTAGGAGTAAAAAGCAAGTAAAATATATGCAAGGAAAAGACGTACGTTGTTGTTTTGGGCTTGTTCAAGCTTGTATAGTTCGTCCATGACAGCTTTCTCGTATTGTTCGGCTTCTTCTGACGTAATCTAAAACGTCAACAAATAATTTTTTCAAATTGTGAACACCTTTAAACAATTAACATAAATTAACATAAGTTAGCACAATAAACATAAATCGTGACGCGCGCAATCTAATGTATAATACAGATGAAGCCCTGGTCCAATCGAATAGTTTCTAATCAAATATCTCTGGAAATTTTTAAAATTCTAATTAACTAGTATCAGTTTAAAGAATTCATATATACACTATATATATATACAGTTTACAATGTATACAAAGCATTACAAGATTTTCTGTTAAAAAAGAAATTAAAATGGAAACAATGTCTTAAAAAATCCTCATTTTAAAAAGAGGCCAAAGTCGTATAATTCTTAATTATAATTTCGGGAACATTGTATACAAAGAATAGTAAAGAATTTGTATCAATTTTGTCATTTTTAGGCACAATTTAATTTGAAGTCAACAATAAATTTAAATAACAGGTCATAATTTTCAATAGTCTGAAAACATAAAATTTTCATTTTTTACATAAAGCGTTGACTTTTCTTATATCGTAGCATATCAAACCGACTTGTTTTGTAACATTATTTAACAAAAGTTAAGGTCATTTGTAGTGATTTTTCTTATATCGTAGCATACCAAACCGACTTGTTTTGTAACATTATTAAACAAATGTCAGGGTCCTTTGCGGTGACTTTTCTTATCAATATGAAGTTCCAGATACAATTTTTAGAATCTTTCAAAACGTCATGTTTTAAATTTGTTTACGCTTCTGATAATATCATCGAAATCTTTCTTTAAATAATCTTTCACGCACCTGTTCGTGAGAACTTTTGAGTCTCTTTAAATTTCATTAAAATAATTGTTTACAAAGAATTACATATATTTACGTGGCAATAAAGACACGTTCTCGTTATTTTACGACAATTAACGAGGAAAAACAAATTACGAAATTGCAAATGTGACAAGGCAATTAGAGATATTAATAACATTTCACAGATGAATTCAAAAGTATCATTATTTTGTACAACATATAAGAATGATTGGAAATGTCATAGAAATATTGAAAGGATAAAATTATATATGCTTTCATTCCGTGACAGATTCATATTATGATACCGAGAAAATTTGTCCCTATGACGTCATCATTCGTTTTCACAAATATCAAATATCTGCCCGCAATTAATTCATTTTGTAATTATGACTGCAATATTTGGAATGGACATGCGAAAGCGAATAAATTTTTAATGGCAAAGATAAAAAAAATATATATTTGATTATATGATATTAGATGAAACAACAAATGCCGAATCTGGTAAGCAATATTTTTTTGCAATTTAACCTAGTTACAAAATGTCATTACATTGTTTAGAGTCGTTCGTTCAAATGACACCATCATCTTTCCAAATGACGTCATCAGCGTTTGTTGTAAACATTAATTAAATCACCTGTAAATTATATTATAGTCTGATTTTATTGACCTGTCAATTATGCATACATTATAGAACTCATTTAAATATTCGATCCCACTTCGGTTTGGTCCGTGTAGTTTACGAGAATTAATGTGGAGTATATTTGTCATGGATTGAAAGTCACGCCAGCTTAATGTGAAGGTTTTCGTTAATTCACAATAGTACAGTCGGTTAAGAGAATGCCTGATAATTTACAGGTCTGTGGTTCGATCCTTGCTGTTGCCATTGTTTTAGTACTCTTTCTTTATTTTTGCCGTATATTTTAATGGAACAGTTTGTAGTGTGTTTTACAGCATTGGAAATACATTTATTGATTTAAATCCGTTTTAATTTTAAACATGAATTCTTAAAACATGTTATTTAAAAAGAATATAGATATAACAAAATTAAGTAAAACATAATAAAACAAAACGAACAACATAAAATAATCATATATAGCTCCAATATTGTTGAAAGTATTAATAAGAAAATAAAAACATAGACCTACGCGGTCTCGAACTTAAAACACGCGTGGCACATAGAGTATAAAGCTCGTGCTTTACCCTATTGCGCTATAACGCTGAGAACACTTTGTTGAGAGATACAAATTAAATTAAATTCCATCGTACAGCGTACATCTCACGGAACTTACCGAAAATCTACCGAAGATTAATATACTGTGTGCATCGACCGTGTAATCAGTATGTAATTGACAGGTTAATAAAACCAAACAATACTCTCTAGTAAAATAGATTATAAACAAAACTATCACCTCGCAACGTGTGTTCTTTCACAAAGAGATTTTTATTTCTGTTTCAGAAAATAGTGTATATTTTATCAATATGTTGAATAAGTACTTTTTTCAATAATAGCACGTTATATATATAGCTAGAGATAAGAAGATCCCCGAGAACTTCAATAATGGGCGTTACTCGTTTAAATCAAGACAGATATGTTTTTGTACTGTAAAAGTAATAAAAATATATGGTCTAACACTGTCACGGAATACTTAGATACCATAAATACAATGGCTATCACTGCGTGACCAAATGACGTCATCGTCCATTGTTGTAAATATTAATAAGGTTAGCCGTAAATATCGGTTTCTTTGAAGGACATAATTAGTCGAGTTATAGTATCCGCTCGCAAATATAAAGTTATAGTGGACGTCATTGGATTTCAAATTAATATCTCTTATAATTGATAAGATGATTCTATATATGGAAAAACGCGTAGGAAGACTCTCCGGGGAAAAAAAGAGTTTACTGCTATCACGAAACACAGCTAATGAACGGACAGTGCGATGGAAAGAAATTATATTGCTGAATAAATAAAAATGTTGCTTTTTGTGTGTCTTCAAAAGAAAATGAAACACTGCGAACGATTGATAATAAATACATAAGTGCGGGTAGATCAACTGCTTAAGTTGATGCTATTCCGTCCGTCCGATAAATTCAAGATGGCGTCAAAGATGGCCGCCAAAAATATATTAATAATTACTATTTTCTATCAGTTAATGACATTTTGGCAGCTAATACTGTTTTACGCGGACGAGTAACTAAAATCTGATCTGAATCAGCTGTAGTATCATATATCTATTAAATTAATCGGGGATGCTGCAAATAATCCTTTACGCATGGTCATTTTGTCGTTTGGTGTTTCATATAAACCAGTATTGATTTTTACGCCTGTTGAATGATATGAGTGTATGTTTTCATTGCATGTACATGTATATAACACTGAAACGGTCGCTCATATTAGTATGATCAACAAAGAATGTCACGTGACGCTCGTTTAAAACTTAAACAAACGGTTATATGACTATGATCAACAGGGCAAACTTCCCGCAGCGGTTACTTACCCTGATCAGCACAGTTAAAGTAACAAAGCGTAACGTAACCGCTGTGAGGAGTTTGCAAAAAGGGAGTTTGTACAACTAAAACAAACGCATATTAGACTATGATCAACAAAATGTATGACGCTCACATAGAACTGAAACATACGTACAGCAAATATCTGAAGCTCGCAAAATACTGACACGAGCGCTCATATGACTTTAGTAAAATATATACATTTAAAACGGCGAAATACTGGTGCGTTCGAATTTTACGAACTTTTGTTAAATATTTTAGCCAGTAAGTACCGTATAATGCTTATACGTATGTAACTAAATCACGTATTTACCTCAGATGAAACCACAAGTTCATTTAGAAGACTTTGGAATTCCTGGGACTCTCCTGTTTTAAACAGATATTCTGCAACAACTCGTGGTGTGAATTCAATAGTCTCTTTAATTTTGTTGAGTCCCTGAAAATAGAAAAAAATAAATCTTTAGAATCTAGATCTATCATTATGTAAACATGAATACTTAAATTGATTCCACAGACTTACATCACAATAGATACACTGGTATTTGCCAGTTTACTGTTTAACACGTGTCATTTCCGACAAGGATTAACTTGTATATTCCAGTACTGTCCAAGAACCGGCTCAATCACACCGAGCCTGCAAGATTTACAATTTGGTGTTTTTGGCGTCTTTTGTCTATTTTACTTAAATTTACATAACATGAAATGTTGGTGTCGTGATGATATTTTTGTCGTCATGATATTGGTGACGTCATGATAGACAATCGGTCATGAGCAGATTATTTTAGAAAATTTAATGTTTTTTTTCCTTCATAATTCATGTAGATATACACACAATTTAAAAATACAATTTCATGACAAAACAACTTAAACACTTTACACGCATTTTGCAGTACATGGCTTATTTTTATCACACACCCGTGCCGGCACGATTTTGCGTTACCGTAAAAATGGTAATGCACGGCCGTGCATATATTTTGACGTAACATCATTAGCGTTTTACAAACATAGCGTAAAGACGTGCTCAATGTTAGCGTTATGCTATAGGCACGTCAATGAAAAATTACTCATTGGTCTTTATTTTGGGTATGTGATATATTGAATATTAAATTCGAGTAAGTATTGAACTTACACTCATTCAATATCCTCTATAATAGTATGTTGCTGTTGAGACCAGGATACAATAATGATGTGAAAATACAGATAAACGTAACTTAATAATATCATATCGTATGATTTATATATAGCTCTAACACTTAACTTGATTCATATAGCCTATACAGATTTTGTTTCGCATCCTCTAATGTTAAAATCAATTACGGGTCTGACAAGGTTCCACCTTTAGCAACCGGTTCATGTAAAGTTCAACGTAAAGCTACACTAATGAATGTGTCAGATACATAAAAGCACCGTGTATTATACCAGATCATTTCATTTCCGGTAGATATTGTCGTCTGTCAGATGGCTATTAAAAGATAACATAGTAGCCGTGTACGGCTGCATTAAGATGACTGTCTTTTTGTGTCTTTTTCATGAGGTGTTCATAACAGAATTGCTATATTTCTTAAAGAAAATTGATTTGCTGTCTTAACATCTCCAACAGACTTGTGTCCTTGTGGTTCACGTTTGTCGATTTGTTTCTATGTTTGTTTGTTTTCCGTTGTTTTTTATGTCTTTTTTTTCTTTTTTGTTTTGTTTCTTTCTATTTGTTTATCTTTTATTTTGATTGTATCTAGATTCTATGTTGTTTTGTTTTTTTTTATTCATATTTTTATTATTCATATTATTTATTTATTTATTTATTTATTTATTTTTGTTTCTTGTTTCACTGTATTTATTTTTGTTCAAAGGAATTTACATTTTACTTGCATTATGAACATATTTGCAAGTACCTGCTTGTAATTAAAAATGTCAAGTTGTTCCTGCATAATGATTATTTATGCAAAATGTGGACTGCATTGTGAATAAGTTCATGCAAAGTTTTACCTACATCGTGATATTGAATATTTATAAATTTCTAAAACTATCTATATATTAATCGTCAGTTTGAAATTTTTGAAGATCATTTATTTCCTTATCTGGGGGCATACCGAGTAAAGTGTGACCTAAGAAAGTATCGAGTAAATATTAACAATATAATAACTATTAAAGGCACATTTTGCTTTAGTTTCTTAATCTTCCAATGGCAAGCATGAGGTTTTTAGAGATTCAATAATTGTTTCAGAGCATGTTATCTTTATTTATTCGTTACAGAAGTAGAAAAATGTCAACAAAGTAGTTTTTTGACTTTCATACATAATTCTAAACTAATTGCTGAAAAAGTAACAGAAGCAAAAGAAAATTCAGGTAATTCGCCAATGAGTAACTTTTTGGACACTATTACAGGACACCAACATTATAAAAAAAAGCTTTCGAGAAATAATAATATAAGTATTTCATAATGGGCCTTTAACATTTCATTACACATTAAGTTCAAGTGAAAGATGAATTACCTCTTCAGGAACAAGTTGATCTTTAGCACTATCATCTATATCTTGTTGATCGTCACCGTTATTTGTGATCTCTTTATGAATACCCTCCGAGGGAACGTCAACCGAGGCTTTAAATGACGTCAGAGGTTTAACATCCGGTGAAGGTCGATCGGAGTTAAGTTCTTCCTTGATGTCTGATAAAAGTTTGTTTGTTTCAGGTTCTGAAACTAAAATTAACAAAGGAACATAATGTTAAAATTTGAAACAAAAGACCAACGAACACATCCCCTAACAAAGGGCCACAAGGAAGGAGGAAGACAGGACGCGAAACAGGACAGGGCACAAGAGCAAAAGAAAAGCTTTTATACAAGTTGTTCATCATGGACCTATTGATTGTGATATAATGATGATGATGGTGAATTATGATATATTTATGTTTATTATAGCATAAAATCGGCTATTTTTCCCTTTTTTGCCCATGTTATAACGGGGCCAAAACCATGCATTAACATAGTCACGCGCTCTTGTTATAGCCCGGTTTTACCTATGCGCAATACATACAGGGCCCAGTAAACAAACAAAAAGTGACGATTTGGCCTGTTTGCCAGTCATGCGCTCTTGTTATATTGGAATTATTAATTCGAGGGCCTCAGTCGCATAACGGCGAGCAGCATTCAAGTAATTATGCCGGCAATACGGCGTATACACATCGCAGCTTATCTTGGTTGTCGCCCTTTCTTAGAAACGGACAGTTGTCAATGTAAACAAATAGAATCTGTCATTCAGTTTAATCCCCCGATTAACTTACAAAAATGGAAAGCACAAAATGAATATAAGAAAACGTTGTTTTATTGACGTTTATATTGATAAATGTTCTGTATGTTTCTTTGAGAGAATAATGTTTTATGCCTGATTTTTTTTTAAACTTGCGTGCTTAAAAAAAAACGGTTCTGAAATTGAAAAAGATGTCACTGATCTTTTTTTTACCGCCAATCTGTAACCATTCTAGGAATTTCTGAGGCGCCTGTTTTTTCTTGGGTAGAGTAATGTTATGTTTTTCTTAAGTTAATATATCTCCAAAGTTAAACTTTGTTAAATCAATTAAAATTCGAAATTTCGTTCGGTTCTCAAGTTGTTGGCCCCGGAAAAAATAAAACGCATACGTAAAACATGTAGAGTTGGATAAATACCGTTCAAGCACAAGGATTTTATGTTTGTGTTTAGTATATAATATACATCATGAATCTGTTTTAAAATTTTATGCTATAATAGCGTCAACGCACGTTTATTTCGTGTTATAAAGTCTGCAGAGTCCCTCGGAACTGTTGGAGCCCTCGCCCTACCGGGCTCGGGCACCAACCGTTCCTCGGGACTCTGCAGACGTTATAACACGGAAAACGTGCGTTAACCCTATACTGTCACGTAGATATTTTTCTTTTAATTGAATTACATTTTTTTTTCTATAAAGTCAAATAAATAATTCCCTTATTGCACATTCTTTCAATGAATTGTTGAAATAGATAGGTAAAAAATATAAGCAAATAGTTACCTTTCTCTTCTGCCTGTTCATGTTTACTTTCAGCACCATTAACGTTCGAATACGAGAAGGATTTTGCCTTTGAATATTCAATACCATTAGAACCTGGAAATGAATACAAATTTGAAGCTATAATAAACAAAAAATGGCAACCGACACAAATGTTCATATATGGAAGAAAAGCAAACAAATCAATATTTGAAATGTAAAGACCTTGACCTTTGAACTAGTGGCCGTAATATGACCTTGACCTTTGACCTAGTGAAACCAATATTAATAGGGGCCATTTACTAGTTATGACCAATTAGTATGTGAATATGAAGACTTTTTGATAAATAGTTTTTTTAAGATAATCAGCGGAAATAATGTGGTCTACAATAAGAGCAGCACCTTTTCTACATTTTCTGTATGACAATAATCTATCATTTGTCAAATGTACTCAGTTTCATAACGACTTAAGTAATAAAAAAATAAAACAAGGATTATTGATCGTTACCCTGGCACAAGGTTTTTCGAAATACAAGAAAGTAACTTCAATTTGTCAATGACAAACTGTTTTTTGTTGCTTTTTTCTATGATGTTGTTTGGTTCATGTTCTTGTTTTGTTTTGTTTAATATGCTGTTATAAGTGTTGTTCTCTTGTTGTTATTGTTGTTGATCGTTTTGTTGTTGCTGCTGCTGCTGTTGTTGTTGTTGTTGTTGTTGTTGTTGTTGTTTGTTGTTGTTGTTATTGTGTGGAGAGGGAGGGCTTGCTGCTGTTCTTGTTGTTCTTGTTGTTATTTGCTTTGTTTTTTGTTGTTTGTTTTTTTTTGTTTTTTTTTTTTTTTTTTTTTTTTTTTTTTTTTTTTTTTTTTTTTTTGGGAGAGGGGGTGTCGTTCTTGCTTTTTTCTTCTGTATGAATCTTGTTGCTTTTTTTTATGATATAATACAAATCAGTGGCTGGTTTTGGTCATAAACATTGTATAGTTGGCGTCGCTAAAGTATGAAAGTCGCGGCATTATGTCACCCGATACATTTAGCCTTCTCCTTAAATTCCGTCACAGGACAAAAATAGATAAAATAAATCATCCCTTATATAAAGCCTTTCGTGATAATTCTATGCTATCATTTATGGTGTAATTTCCCTGTTGATAGAGACTTTTGACTTTTATTTGAGAGCTTTTTCAAAAAATCTCTTCCAAACAATGGTCAAATAATGTTATGACGTCATAGAAAGATATAATTTATTATCGTCCATTATCTCACACGGTTTTGTAACCATAGCGACCAATAAGGTTACGTCCAAGAGGTTTCTGATTTTTTTATCTAAATATGGATGCGTCCAATTTGTTGTCTGAATCTTTTATATATACCGTGCTTCTCTTAATAAGCGTCTATATTACCGTTATTCAACAAGCGTTTGGTGAATTTGCAGACCATTGCGTTATAAAGGCAAACTTCATAACTTCATAGATAAATGTGCAGTGAATACAACATTTTTTCTGCAGACGTTAATTTCTTTACAAAATAAGCATGCTATGTGTAGGTCCATAAAAGAGAGTTGACATCAATGGAAAAAATGGCAACAAATCAAATATAAATGAGTTTCACGTCACTTCTCAATTGTCGCAATTACTGTTTTTCTAGATTAACGATTTTGTTACACTGTTATTTTCATTTCTGTTAAATGTCAATAATTTGACCAAGCATTAACTCCCACTACTTTGCGAAGGCAATGACGTCAATTCAAAACCTGGCTCTCAATTATTCATTATCAATTATTCACTATGAACAATAATTTAATACTTGAACATGTTGCAATTAATCAAATATTAAACTTTTTTGTTGTTGTTTTTTCCTCAATCCAAACAACGCTTTCACATCGAATAAATCAATCCCGTCAACTTTTAGAACCGCTGCCATATAAAAGTAAATTTATAATGGTAAAATAAATTTAACTACAACTTTTAAATACCAATGTATTGTATTGAATAATAAGATAGATAGAGTAATAAATAAGAACATATTTGGCTCGTTTACTTAAGAGAACAGCTTGTTTGTGGCAGGGATATCTGGAACCTTCCTTCACCTTAGGTAAAACACCACTAAATTTCGGGTTTGAAAATAACCATTTAAAACGAAACGACATCACATATATCTTAACGGAATTGTATGTTACTCTTTTTATAAATGCCGTAAGACCGAAGCGTAAATGAAGGATTCATAAGTGACATTAGAGGCACATTTTGTATTTATTTCAACAACGCCTACAAAGAAACACATCTTTTACCTGAGCACCACATACATGTATGTTTAATCATCCAATGCGAGTTATTTCTGAACCCGGAATCCTCGCTTAAATAATGCGTCTAGAGGATAAGATAGTGTTCCTGACGCATTTAAATTATTCTGAGTTCTACACAAACGGAAGGAAGAGGTAACTTTGAAATAGGATGAAAGAGATTAGAGATAGGGTTTCCATACCTGTATTCTGGACACCTGCGAGTGATTCTAAGGCTTGTTCCTGGTCCTTCAATTGAGCCTTGAGGGCGGCTTTGATGTCATCTGAAAAAAAAGAAAAATATATATACATTTGTATATTGTCTACAGTTTATATAGTCTATATTTCTTAATACAAAACGTATGACGACACTAATACAATAAATAAAATTGCTTATCGAAATATTTGTATGAACTTATTAATGAACATGTTTATTTTAATATTTATGTTTGTTTGTTTGTTTGTTGGTTGGTTTTGTCATGGTCTGGCTTTTTTCATTTAATGGATTTAACATCATCCGGACAAAACCTTTTCATTAACCAGGAAATCATTCACTTCACTACCGTGAAAAGTCGGTAAACTTCGGAAATTGCCGAAACTGATTAAGATCAAATTCATTGTAAGTTACAATGTAATTTATGTGTTTGACAATAGGATACATTATTTCAGATGAAATGTAACACATTTACTTTAGTAAATCGCTAAAACACTAAATTGGCTGCGCCGTTATTAACAAATTTAATTTTGTATATGCTTATTTATTAACACTAACCTATTCTTAAAGTAAGACAATCTGTCGACTTTTGAAACATGTGACAAAACTGGCAAATAATTTAACAAGAACAAGTGCTTCATGGACATTTTCCATTGCAATGTTAGCCAAAAGTACAATGTATATTGTATTCAATCAAAATAAAAACTGCTTCAACAAATATAAAGTCTGGCCTTTTGTTCACGTGAAATATACTATGTTAATAAAATGCCTTGAGTTAAATACATTCACGTAGGCGTCATTTTTCAGCTTGAATAGCGTCAAACTATCCGATATAACTAGATTGGTGCCTGTTATATAGAAATACTGGAGATAGCCCTGCCAGACGCTCTTCCGCTTACAATCTAATTCAACTCTTCCAGCAAGGCGCAAATCGAACATTCATCAAAATGCTGTGACGTGACATTTAACTATCGGAATATTAAAGGAGATTGTAAAAAAGGCGGTGCGTGGGTGTATGGATTGATTATTCCGCAGTGGCGAAAATGCTGAGATATCAACTAGTACTGAATATTACTTGATGAATTTAGAGGTTGATTTTAGATCATATTAGACAATTTCTAGGTTAAAAAGATGTTTAAACCTGTAATGTAAACACTGTAAATTCTCATCAGTAAAACACACTGATTTCAAGGCAGATTTATATAATTATTACAAATGTACATTACTGCATGTTTTAGCAATTTAGCGCTATATACCGCTATGAGCTCTTCTCTTTGTTAAAAGCTAAAGAGTTACTTAAGCCGGTGCTAAGGGCCCTAAAAGAGTGTTCCCATTAAAGTATGTCAGCATTGAACAGGCTCAATCGCAGTTAGCCTGTAAAATTTTCAGTTTTGCCTTATTTACGTCAATCATTTTTTACAATTTTAGTATTGGTTGAAAATACGTGAAAGCATTTACTCGGGACCTCAGTGTAATGGTATGTTTGAACGAGCGAATTGTAATTAAAACTCCATCGATCAAATGAAGAATAAAGTCGATAACCATTAAGAATACTATTAATTTTATGTAAATATTTGCAAACGTAGTTTCAATTTAAGTGATTTTCAATTAGATGACATTTGTGATGATGTATGACATTAAAGATCAACCAAACAGAGAAAGAGAGAGAGTGAGAGTAAAATGTTCATGGAATGAAACCCAAATCGAGGATTTCTGACAATCAAGGTTTGAATGCTAGATAGTTCTTAGTCGTATGTTATACAGAACTCAAATTCAGATTTCATTAAGTCGTAACTTTTTCTCCATAAATGATAAAAACATTTTATCGATTGGTTAAAAAAGCGTAGGTGAGTGTTACTGTAACTTTTAATGAAGATTTTTCCTGTCCATTAATATTGTATAATCAGGCGGAAACTAAGGGCGATACCAGCCTATTTTAGTATCATTTTAATACATCAAAACCAAAGGTAACTAATGATAAATGTCGTTCTAATTCCCTAAAGGATTAATTGTAAATGTCGCCAGATAGAATCCAACAAACATTGTCGCAGGCCGCCTTTGATCCAATAATCTACCGTGTTTCCTACACTAGATGTTAACAAGAACTCGTGGTTTAATTGAATGGTTGTAAGCATCCGATTGACATTGATTAGGATAGAATAGTTCTCCGGGGGCAAGCATTCACAGACATTGATCAAGATAGAAAAAGTGATTACCAAGTAATAAGCCACCGGGTACTCATAGCATGACGTTTGCGAGATTTGAATGAATGTTCCAATCTTACAGTGAAAAGGTGGAATGTGTATCGTCAGGACATTGGGAATAGCTCGGTTATTTCGATTCAGTAATAACAAGATGGTAATGATATCATATTCATGTATACATGCTCTTTCTTTAAGCTGATCACGATATTCTCTTCTAGCCCGATAACATAGATTGATGGGCAGGTAGAAACGTTAACTTTTCTGGGTCATGTAGGGGATGCGTTCATTGAATACCACCCTTCCTAACTGATATTGTTTTTCATATTTTAATATGAACACTTGTATCTAATAAACCAATGAATTACGCAATTAATAAACTATATGTACATGAGGAATTAATTAACCCTTATTGAATATGATCCTAATCATAATGAGCGCTTTTGGGCGCCGCCATATTGGTAGCATAAAAATAATGACGTCACAGTGGAAAGCACGTGAAAACAAAAGTACAATGTATCACGAAAACTGTCGAATGAAAGCGAAGGCGTTTTTTGTGCTTACTACGATACAACGTATATATGTGCGTTTAATTAACCATTGAATACCGCCAATAAAGAAACTATAAGAACCTAATATGATTTAAATTATCAGAGAAAATATGACGCCATTGTTTACTTCTCCTCAGATATTAATATAACACACATGTAATATTGCTCTTTGTAATTAGTCATCCAAGTCGCTTTAATAATTTATAGTTTTCTTTCAATCACTAACTGGAAGTTATTGCAGGATATATTAACGGTTCCAGTGATTTATTCAATTATAATATTATCGACATACATGAATCATTTAAAGGCACAATATGCCTCCGAAACGAATTCGTTCTAGTCATGTCACGAAAATAAATAAATAAATAATTGGATTCCTGATAACAATCGGTGGTTGCTCTTCCTCCTTTTTAAAATAGTTTTTTCATATTAGCGAAATATTACCTCACGGTTTTTGTTGTCAAACGTTTAAACAAATGCTACAATAGAAAAATATTTTTAAAACATAGAAACAAGATGTTGATTGAATATTTTAATAGGTAAAATTGTGCCGTAAAAAATATACATCAAAACTCTCATCAAACATAAGCTTATATAGTTTTGACCATTTTCATCATTGTTGTTACTCTTGCGCTATCACAAAAATTGACGAATTTGAATATGCCGGGATTAACTGAATGTATTTTTAGATCATGACACGGATGTAAACATTTTTTGAAAAGATGCCAATGGCAAAATTGTAGTGCTTGAAGAAGCCGGAAATTAATCGCTTCTAAATAAAACAGAGTGACGCGGAAGCGTTCTTGGAATTGACAAGGGTTAAATGCGATGATGGGATTAGTTTTAGCTGTTTTATTTTTAGAATGAAAAAATGTGGGTCAACTGATGATATTATAATTATTATCATTTTGTCACTATATCGCATATTTTTTATTTTATGTATAAAATATATTACAGGCCCATTTGGCTCAGAAATGCTTTTATTGTTATTTCACAAAAGCTTGTTTAATTTTGGTGTACTTTTATATCCCAAAAACTCACTCATTGGCCAAATTACTGAACCATCTTTTTCATTTGTTGCATTTTTTTTTGTCAATAAGTAGATCTACAGTTAAAGAGTGAATTAGTATTTGGTATTAAAGTCAAAATACCACTGTGTTTACATTTTGCTATTTTTATGATATTATTATCCACATTTATACTACTTCATCAGGTAGCGAGCATCTATCTTTTCGCGGTTCATGGGCACTTAAAAGGCGATCTATCGCGCTTCCAAAAAATCTCAAAGGTTTACATGACGAAGAGGGTTTTGAACCTATAACGGGACAGATGCTTGTTTATAATTAAGATAAAAATGACCGTATGAGCATCTTAAGATTATATCAATATAAATAAGGTATCATTAAAGTCTTTAAATGTGTACTTTCTTTTTATACTACATCTAACACTGAGTGCAAACAACACATATCTTATTCTATGAAAATCAAATCTGAAAAAAGCAACGTTCGACAACAAAAAGTGACTAATTTGTATAGGTTGCTATGGTAACATTTCCGACGCGTTAATAGAATTGATACGGTGTCATTTGCAAGTTAGTAGTAGACAATAGCAGCGACCATCCTAGAAAGGAACTATTTCTATGGAATACAAATTGACAATAGATAGAACAGTAGAATTTGATTGTACGGCGATGGTTCTCTGTCAAATAGAGAAGAAAATTATTTTAGCTTGTTTTATTTGTATAACAAAACATTCTGTCTATCAATAGAAATAGGGAAAACTTGTTACTAGACAATGAAACCTCCAACATTATATGAGCCGCGTCATGACAAAACCAACATAATGGTTTTGTGACCAGCATGGATCCAGACCAGCCTGCGCATGATCAGGATCCATGCTGTTCGCTTACCAACCCTTTTACAAGTAGAGAAAATAACAGCGAACAGCATGGATCCTGATCAGACTGCGCGGATGCGCAGGCTGGTCTGGATTCATGCTGGTCGCAAACGCACTGTGTTGGTTTTGTCGTGACGTGGCTCATTTGTTTTGAGTAAATTATATGTTTTGATAGAGAGGGAGTGTTCGGTCTATAATGAATTGACTGAACGGGTTAAATAAAACATTATAACATAAAAAGCTTATAATGATGTATATTAAAAGAATGAACAAACAAAACAAAACAAAACCAACCAACCAACCAAACTAATTAGCTATATAGCTAGCTAACTAACTAACTAACTAACTAACTAACTAACTAACTAACTAACTAACTAACTAACTAGCTATAGCTATAAAAAAGCAACGAAACAAGCAAACGCACGAACAAACAAACAAATGAGAATATGGTTCAATATATAAATAACACAAACAAACATACAAATTAATAAAAAATAAATAACTCTGTACAGCCTCTGCCGAGACAAACGTTTGCTTGTTGCTGAAGGGTGTTTTTTCAAGAGAGGTTAAATTTATTATAAAGTCTTACATTAGGAATTTATTGACTGTTGTAAAGAGGGTATTGCCGTACAGAGTGTCGCTTTTTCAGAGGTTGCTAAAGACACGACTCTCTTTGATATAAATCATGTTTAGATTACAATATTGTTGTTGTTGTTTTTTTTTAACTAAAACAATATTTTTTGAAACTGCACGTAGCAGATGTATAGTTTTATGTACTTTAAATAGATACCTTTGAATATATTGATTATTTATTTAACTTTCAAAATCAAAGAATTTTCTTCCCTTATTGGAATATAATGTGTTTTTTTTTCTGTTTACTCATAAATTTGGATTTTCAACTTTATAGGTTCTTGAACCGTAATCTTAGTTGTAAACAACAATTTTCAACGTGACATTTTACCATCCCTATTGACGTGGACACCAATTATCATCAATAATTCTTGTGTCAGAAAGTAAGTAAACAAAAAGGAAAAGAAAAACGACAAGAAAAACTTTAAAAATCCAACAAATACCCAGCAACAAAGATGAAACCCCTGAAAATGCCAACAGCACTTTTTAAAATAAAAATGCAAATTGAATGGAGCAACACTTCAGATTTTTTTTATTTGATTTTTGCCCAATTACGAAAAAGAACTTTGCAAGTTTGATCAAATAGGATTGGATCCGCTTATTTTATACTTAAAATAGGAAATAGATTCATGCAAGTTTCATCAAACAGGCTCGAGTCCGCTTGATTTATGCTCAATTGCGAAACAGATTCTGGCAAGTTTCTCCAAACAGGCTTGAGTTCACTTGATTTATATCAAAATGCGTAATATTATTTTGCAAGTTTCAATAAAAAAAATTGCAAGTTTCAATAAAAAAAGGTTTGTGTCCGGTTTGTTTATACTAAATTGTGAGATAGATATCTTCAAGATTCAGCAAACAGGCAAGTCCACTAGATTAATATTAAATGCAAAATAGATTTTTGCCAGTGTCACCAAACAGGCCCGAGTCCGCTTGATTTATATTAATGTTTGCCTGTGTCGTCAAACAGGCTCGAGCACGTTTGATTTATTCTCAATTGCGGAACAGGTTCCTACAACTTATTTCAAACAAGCGAAAGTTCGCTTCAAGGAATAAGCCAGCAGTGATGTAATACTGTAAGAAAAATATAGTCGGGCACGAAAAAAAGCTTGAACCCACGATTAAGGTTACAACACCATAAACATTTGCAATCAGTCTATTTTTATTTATCAATTAAACATATTAAACAACCAATTTCATTAAACAGATGGCAATGTGGGACGCAGAACATATTAGGATTATATATAAATAAGAAAAACCATAAAAAACATCAATTCTAAGAAAGAAAAAACTTACAAAAACCAAAACAAAAAAACAAAACAAAAAAAAACTTATTTAATAGTTTGCAGAAGCGATTTTTTTCTCTCCAATTTTTTGAAATAGTACACGAATGGTCCTCGGCAAACTTGTTTCGTAAAGATAACATTTCTGGTTTTATTTATGCATATTGTGCGGGAAAAAAAGAGATGTTATTTAAAAATGGTAGTAATAAAACCAAAAAATTGAAAAACATTTTAATTGCAATTACAATACTGTAACTCAGAAATAATAAATCGTAAAAGTTAATTTTCTTAGACTATAATTTTAAGAAATAAAGCAATTGATGAATACTGTGTCTTTGATAATAAAGATGATGAAGTAAAACAAGAAGAAAAAGATAATGGTAATTGTTGGGATAATGATGATGATGATTATGAAATGGATATTAAGATAGTACATGCTATTATAAAATGACTATCATTTATAAATATGTAACGGAATGAAATTGATGATAAGAATAATGATGATGATAATAATTATTATCATTAGTTTTACTATTATCATCATTATTATTATTATTATTATTATATTATTATTATTATTATTATTATTATTATTATTCTTATTATTATTATTATTATTAATTATAATAATAATGATATTGATTAATGATATGGAATAAAAACACGCTTTATAATTTAGAATGATTAATCAAGTTTAGGTAGATCTACGATGTTATTAGAGAGCATAGCTACAAAAAAAATAAGAAAATAATGAAAATTTTATATTTACCAAAATTATCCTTCACTACCGGAGCAGCCTGTACCATAGCAACAAGAAGGCAACACAAACACGCAATCAAGATGTTCAACATACTGCACATTTTTCTTTTGTTTATGTTTCTTCCACCGTCTTATAGAAATAAAAAAACTCTTCGAAAATGCAAATTAAACCGTCAGTTATAGTTTATGGCGTAACGAAATCGAAAACTTATTTCAGCCGAATAAAATGAATGATTATGTTCAAAAAGAGGCAACGTTTGTTGCTGTTTTTATCTTACGAATTATATAAATCCTTTTTTTATTATTTATTTACTTTTCCTTTCGTAAAACAAAACAAACGTGTGCGATTCGTCCCTTCTTCCGCGTGTTTAAATTTATATGGAAAATATTCCGTTCGTTTGTGAAGTTATTATCAAAATATGTGTCCACGCCACCAGTATTACACTGTTACAAAGTACGATCGTTTCAGTTCAAAATTTCCGCTGTTTCTGAGATACAGAGAGACGCTCTGTGCTTAAGATGCTTTGACAATTTCCAATAACCCTATACAATCGATTATTTTAGTTTCCAGTGACAGAAAAAAAGCTCGTGGGCGAGAGTTGGTAGTTCTACGGATGCGGAAAAAAATATATAAATAACGGTCAGTAGTGGTTGATATCTTTCTTCCCCCCGTTTTTTTGTTTTTGTTTTTTTGTTGTTTTTTTTTGATGTGTGAAATTCATCGTTTATTGAATGATATGTGCAAATAACACATGTTGTGGCTTTAAAAAAGAGGAGAGGTGTGTTTGTGGGGGGACGGAAGGGGTAAAAGAACAAGGCTTAATGCTGCTAAATTTGCATATATTGACATATCGGATTTATATCCTTGTTGACAAATGCAAGACTTTTAGAGTTAATACCTCGTGCGGTAGTTAAAGTTCTTAATCTTTTTCTTTTTTTCTTTTGGCACTGAGGAAAGTTTGGTTACTGAAAGACAAAATAACAAGTATATAGGTTGAATGAATTCACTTATCTATATTTCTTTACCGGATGCTAAAAGAACGATTATGATACTATAGAGTATTATGTCAACAATGATATTATGTTATTTAGGTGCTGTGAGTGTCGCAATAGAATCGCAAATATATCCAAAGATATCTTGTTGAGTGAGACTAAAAAAAGTGTTGGAGCACCACACTAAATACCGTATTCCGGTATATACCGGTGAAATACCAACATCTCACCAAAAATGCACTCTTAAGACGTCTAATTCATCTGTTCACACGATTTATAAACGATGTAAGAATCGGGCGAAAAAAGCGATATTTTTCTTCTTCGTGATCATGATTTCTGCAAGCGTCTAGAGGTACTGCTCCATCACTGTAGTGAGTTAACTCCAATCTTTGGTACTTACAACTTCTGAAAAATGTTTCTGACATTGTGCTTCCTTTTTAGATACAATGAATTGGTCTACGTCATTGAATGACGTCTGCACCACGTGCACTGAACAAATTACTATTTCTGGAGAGGAAATAAACACTTTCCCGGAAGCACCATAGACACGAGTATAAACAATCATGACAATCGGAACGTCCTCGACTATTATCTATAATAACCTTATCCGAAGACTGACGGAAAGGGCCGAAAAGTTGCGATTGGAGTATAAATTGCAATACTTTCTAAGAAGCCGAATCCACAGAGTTTATGTCAGTTATACTTAACACTACATAACGATTTTTGAAAAGGCTAGTATAAATGGTTGTAAATGATAATGAATGTATACCTTTTGCACGGGTAATATAGAAATTAACCGTATACCCACAGACATACGACCTAGATCTAACGGCTTAACAAGTACAGCACATTTGCCTTATAAAATTAATTTTATAATGTCCTGAAGTTGGCAGCCTAGACGTGCGTTATTTGATAGTATTAATAAAAATCTAATTAATTTAAAAAATAATCATTGAAATGACAAAAAAAACTATCTAGCGGTGCTTTTTATGTGATTCCTTGGATATAAATGTTTTTTGTCCCTGACTTCAAATCACTAGCCGACCACCGTCGAGGGTTCAAATTCCGCAAGGGTCGAATCCCGCAAAGTATTTTGGGTTTTTCATTTGACGAAGCTATCCTGAGAGTTTTCGGAAGGTCAGTGTCCGTTTGTGCCCGTAAAAAATGCACGAAGGGGAAACTTAGGTCTTCCTTCACCACAGATTTGCAGACGACCGAAGAGACTCAGTCATACATAAAATAAATAATATCGATAAATTAACAACATAATCATGTTAATATATATGCCATAAAACAACAATGTGGTATTTTTTTATCTTTTCCTGGGAACTATCATCATTTTATTTTTCACATATCCGATTCTGTTGTGTACATTGTAATAAAATCAAGGAGAGATTTATTGATTGTACCAATTTAATCATCGGTGATTGTTTCACAATGTTATATACTGTGTCATATTGAAAACCGGTCACGCTTTATTCTCAGTTATGACAAAGACCTATTGGGTGTTTTTAAACAATCAAATAGGTCGATTCTATTATAGACTGATTCTGAATAGGTATTGAGATATATTAATCAAATCAGGCTCTGAAATCATATTATATTACTATAAAATGTACAGTCAAGAGTTCAACACCATGAATAAATATCACATGTACAGTTTTGCTTAAACAATGGCTACATCTCGTCTATGAAGCCTTGAACAGAAAACGCGTACCTACATGCAATTCAAAGTGTACTCATGACAAAAAGAATCGTCTGCGAAGTCCACTTAAATTTGTAGGAATCTTCTCACTAAATTGGTCAAACTCAAACAATGGCAAAATATCGCCTGTGAAGTCTACGTATGGAAAGCATATTTCATATATTTCTTTATCTTTGAAGAGTTACATTGGTACAATATGTTTTTAAAAAGACACCCTGGCAAGATATTAGTTTAGGGATACCGCTTTTCTCTGTTTCTACTTGTACAAAAATGGAGAGATCTGGTCCTTTTAATTCTACAATATCAATTTGAAAAAGTTATATTAACAATTACAGTCCTTTACTTATATACATGTAGTTATCATTATTATATTTGTATACTTTAAGGTTTGTGTTGATGGATATTGTTTGAGAAACTTAAACAAAAAGAAACAAAAAAAGCAAAAACAAACAAACAAACAAACAAAACGAAAACAAAAACTAAATAAGTAAAAAGGCGCGGATGAATATTGCATGCAAGGCGCGGATGAATATTGCATGAAGGTGACGCGGTTGTTAAATAACAAATTTTTTTCACTGAAATAAGAGAAAGGAGTACAAGGATTATGAAACGTAATGTTTTTTTTATATAGAAACAACGTCAGAAACGCATGTACCTAATATGAGACTGACGATATTTGAGCCGCGTCACGACAAAACCAACATAATGGGTTTGCGACCAGCATGGATCCAGACCAGCCTGTGCATCCGCGCAGTCTGATCAGGATCCATGCTGTTCGCTATCAGTTTCTCTACTTGTAAAAGGGTTGGTAAAAGAACAGCATGGATCCTGATCAGAATGCGTGGATGCGCAGGCTGGTCTGGATCAATGCTGGTCGCAGACCCATTATGTTTGTTTTTGTCGTGAGGCGGCTCATTTCAATTAACCAAAACATGACAAAATATCTATTACCTGTAGAAGATACCTGATACATTTTACACGTTTAGAATTGAGAAAAAAAGTCCGTTAATAAAACAAATGTTTCTAATATTAGTCTATTGAAAGGACAGAGCACGGTTATTGAAAATCTCATATCATATTACCTGAACTAAAGACTAAGAGACCCATTATGCCTTAGAAATTCAAAATCTGTTTATTTTTGGTATCTTTTTATAGTATACTCATTTACTATATACTTGTACATAACATAACTATTTTTTGCATCTTTATTTCTTTTTGGGAATTGACATATTTATAGTGAATTAGTATTTTGTATGGAAGTCAATCTACATTGGACTATTTTTTGTTCAATTTTGCTACATTTACGATACACAACTGCATGTACAGCGCTACTTTTAACTACATGCACTTAATCCATTATCTAAACATCATTAAACACACTTTATCATTTCTAAAAAAATCTACAGAATAAATAAATGAATAAAATACGGATTTCTGAGGCATAATTTGACTTTAAGAATGTTGAAACCGGTGCTGTAGCATTTTTAATTTTATCTTGTTGACGGACATATAAGGTTTCCATATTTTCCCAATTTTATATTTACATTTTATTATATACTTATTAATGAAATATTGAGAAATATTGATGAAATAAAATGCGTATTTTCATTTTTCGTATTTTCACTGTAACAAATTATTTTTCACTGCAGTGAAACATATTTTCCGTATTTTCACTGGTGTCTTGCCGGACTACTTTCTTTTAAATTCTGCCAGTACACAAAATTTTAGGGAAAGTCTTTCAAATTTTAATGTCAAAAAAGACAAAAATGTATATAATAAACAGAAGATTCAAGTTTTTTCTATAAATACATGATTTATTTTCATCTTGTGGTATATTTCACTCGTGGCTATCGCCACTCATGAAATATTTATTTGCATACCACTCAATGAAAATAAATCATGTATTTATGAAAAGAACTTGAATATCCTCTATGTATAAGTGTCAAAACTGTAAGAAAAGTTCATTTCGATAACAGAATTGTCGTGACGAGTTATCAGAAATCGTTGTGATGAGTTATCAAAAGTCTTCGTGACGAGTTATCACGAGTTATCAGAAGTCCTCAGGACGAGATATCAAAAAATTACGTCACTGTTTTCAGAATTGTCGTGACGAATTATCAAAAGTCTTCGTGACGAGTTATCAGAAAAATGTATTCTCTGTTCATGTTATATTTCCTATTCCGCGTTAACAGTGTACTTTAGTTTCATCTAGAATAATAGGGTAACAGTGTACTTTAGTTTTATCGGGAATGATAGTGATTTAAACTTGAGCGTATCTGAAAATGTTATGATAAATATTTGCAGAGGGATATAAATAGGTTATGTAAATATTTAAGATTGATCAATATTTCGATTATCAAACACTTAAAGGAACAATAATGCATTGTATAAGATTTATCATGTATGAGAATTAAAGAGTGAAATGCTATATCCAATGAGATATTCTTATGAATGTAATAAACGGTAAAATTATGTTGGTCGAAAAAAGTCTGTTATATAGATTTTATCTGTTCAAGAAGTAACATTTATGGTACTAGAACATTTGTAGAAGGTGTTTAACTGTTTAGCAGCGAGCTCGAACATTTGCTCTCATGGTAATAAACAAACATATTTATTCCATATACTGTACAGATATTTTGGACAGTATTCAAAATCTCTTCCGAGCAGATTTATATAAAGCTTGATTAAGTTTAATATTTCAATCCGAGCTTTTAAATAACATCTTTTGCATTTATTGCGCTTGCCTTTACAGATACGCATGCGCATAAATATCATACTCTCGTTACTAAGTATATTCCTAAATG